ACCGAGTAGAAGGTGAGTGCGGCCGCCTCCCTGCTTCAAACGTGCTCGGACAATCGGGAGCAAAACAGGAGAAGAATTTCTCCTTAACCTCTCTATTTTATCTTAATCTGTTGTTGCTGGAGGCCAGTCAGTAGGTTTTGCTGTTGTGTCTGAATGAATCCAGCCGTAGATTGGAGATGTACGCTGTGGAAAATAACAGCCTAGAGCAGTAATGAGAAGTTTCTGTTTACACCGTTGTGCCTGACACTAAACAATGTTGATGGTCATTTTTGTAAAGATGCTGCTTGTTCATGTATTTTGCTGTATTTGGGCATGGACTAAATAAGGATGTATGTTAGTGGGAAGAAAAAAAAGGTGTAGCACTCATTTTTTCTAGGCAGTAGTTAGTAACTAAACGCTTTTTTTTTTTTTTCTTTTTCATCTTCAAAGATCTCCTCTGCGGCCTGTGGTTATGGATTCACACTGCTGTCCTCTACTACCACGGACATCACCAAAGTTTGGGGCATGGGCCTCAACAAGGATTCCCAGCTTGGATTTCAGAGGAGCTTGGGCGATAGAAGTAAGGATTGGGGTGTTGTAGGGACCTGCAGGGTGGTACTGCAGGATGCTGGTGGTGTGGGAGACCATGGGTTAGGAGATAGGGAAAATATACAGGAAGCTCTGGTGAAAGTTGTGGGGCTGTCCTTTTTTAAGGTTTTTTTTTTTTTTAAAGTTTTTTTTTTGAACTTCGTTGTGTTTGCTGTGTGTGAATTTGTGGTCCAGACATGCTTCTCTTCTTCATGTGTGCCTGAAATCCAAACAACTGTTTTTTCTGCAGATGTGTCTGTTGGATGCGCTGTTGCTTTGAGGGTGTATAGTTTTCTATGGGGCAATATGTCAAATTAGTTAATAAATTTTTTCGGTATGATGGTTTGCTCTCTTGTTTTGTCTTCATATCTCTAACCTAACTTGCTGTCTCTCAAATCTTTTGATACAGTCATCTCAGAATGTTATACACACTTTAGAACATGTTTTCTGTGCTAGAAACTTGTCTTCCTCCTAAGGCAGACAGGAAAAATATGAAATTCATTCCCATATAGAATTCCTGTCTCTTACTGTAAAAAGCTTGTTATATTTTAGAAGATTGTCTCCCAAACTATTTAGGGAAAGCTGTTAATAACAGCCATTTTATTTCACAAAATCTTAGATCGCTAATCTTTTGTGGAGCCACACTAGTTTCTGGTGTTTTCTTTTTTTTCATTCCCTTTTCCCAGAGGGCCTTTAATCCACTGTTCTTTAAAGATGAAGCTTGAAGACTTTTTGCTTATCTCTCATGCTGTCTATTTTGTGATTGTTTGCTATTGTACCTTGCATGTAAAATTCTCAGTTCTAAAGAGTAGTTAAGTTTTTGCTTATCATTAAGCTCCTTAGTAATCCAGCCTTTTTCACTGAAGTGGTCAAATGTATGCTGAAAACCTAGACTTTTTTGCTTCCTGGTCCCCTGAAGCCTTAGTACCATGCAGCCCCAGGGTATCATGGATTTTTAGCTATGCAGTGATTGCTCACTTCAAGCATCACTGTTGTTTTTCATCTATTCTTCCCCATGATGGATTCCAGCCCTTCTTTTGCTTGGGTCCCTGCTGTCTAGAATTAATCTGCTTCACTAACAAAATAAGAATGGATGTCTTCAATATAACCTGCAAAATATAATTGCTCTGCATTGTAGGTGATACTGATTTTTTTAACTTTTCTCTCTCTCTCTCCCTGTTTTTTAAAGATAAAGGCTACGAATATGTCTTGGAACCATCTCCGATTGCACTGCCACTGGCGAAGCCTCAACAGACTCGGGTCTTGCAGGTCTCCTGTGGGAGAGCCCATTCCCTGATCCTGACAGATAGCGAAGGAGGTACAGTATCCTTTTGCTGGATACAAGGGACACCTGAATCTATACTTCCATTGAAAAAAATGGGAAATTGTCTTCTGTCCTCAAAAACTTGATGCCAGACTGGCTGCCAGCACCGTAAATGTGATGCAGGTGGCTGTTAGCCCCTCTGGGGCTGCTCCCTTGAGGGAGAGCTCTGAGATAGAGCTCAATGCAGAGTTATGTTCTGTTTGGCTCAAGCCGCAAATGCGTTGGAAGCTTTTGCCCTTCTAGTATTGAAAAAATACCATTTATCTATCCCCAGCCCTCGTTTAAGTGTAAGCTGTTTGTCTTGTTTAGTCAGATGTGTTTTTGAGTTCTGTTTTGGATGGCTACGCCAATACTTCTGTGCTGTTTTCCCCATAAAGCCCTAGAGTGCAGCATTTATAAAAACAGTGAATTAATAGGCCTTTATACAGAAGATCGTCTTTGTGAATTGGCTTGTGGCTTTGCTGGGAATTCTCGGTGGCTTTGGTACTGTACAGAGCGACCCAGTGCTCCTCATCACAGAGCAAGCTGCTTGGTTGATTTAATGCTCCTGTGGGAATGCTGATCTATTCCCGAGTCTCCTTGGCAACGGCAGGATGAACGAGGCAGTTACAGAGATAGAGCCAATGAGCTCCAGGTCCTGCAACAGTCCCCACCATCGCCTTGTTCCTGTTGCCTAAAACAGATTTGCTCACTTGATTTCATGTGAGCTTGATGGAAGAAAGCTTAGGTTTGTTCTACAGGACCAAGTTCAACTTTTGTACCTTATGAAAGTATTTTTCGTACCTGCTTAGGGGCTCTTGTGAGGTTGGATATGAATCCAAGGAGCTTTTTATCACTGTTTTTCAGTCTTCAGCATGGGGAACAACTCTTACGGACAGTGCGGCAGGAAAGTTATCGAAGATGAAACTTACAGGTGAGACTCCAAACAACTCAAACTGTGCTAAGGAAAATATTGTTATTAAAACAACCCTTCAGAAAAGCCTGGAGGAGAGAAAAATTGATAGCAAAAAAGATACTGCCTAAAATTAAGGAGCCTCAAATCAGGCTTTTATGCTGCAGGCATCCTGTAAGGGCTGTCTGTCTTTAAACTTGTCTTTAAACATCTGTCTTTAAGCCTAAGCAAGCTTGTCTTGACATGCATTTTTTTTCTTTGTAAAATGCCAAGCAGAAAGATTTCCAGTTAAGTATAATGTTTTAGATGGATAATACAGTATTATCTAATGTCTGTGCTCATTGTGGACTAGGGAGTGTGTTTGAGGACCGCCCACATCCCCATGAAATGTTATATTAAAAAGTGACAATTTTAAACTTCTTAAATGAAATAATGAAAAAATATCCTACTTCTTTACAGTGAAACAATGTTTTTCTTGAATATATGAGAGAATTCCCTCTCCTTTTAATGACAAAGCGGCTTTTTTGGTAAAGGTGGATCTGTCTTCACATTTTTTCAGTTGCAGTTGTCTGACATGCTTCATATTGCCTCTTCTCTTTCTCTTTTTTGTTGATGGTGTCCAGTGAAAGCCATGTAATTCATCAACTGAAGGAGTTTGATAGCAGAGTTGTCCAGGTAAGAGAATCTTCTGAATCTAATTTTAAAAAAAGGTGGAGGGGGGAGGGGAGTGAGGGGAAGGGGCTAGAGGAAGAGAGAATACAAATCACTTAGTTGAAGCCTTTTGAAATGAGGAGTATGGTTGCTTATATAAAGCACAAGAAGGTATTTTGCTCTGTGGCTTTGCCAGGTAGTTGCAAATGGCAAAAGAGGGTCTGAACTTGCTGAAGAATTTGACGGGAATGCCAGTGCAGCCCCTTGCTTGACTTCCTAGCTAGCACCTGCATGGCAAGGAGATTGTTCTGATGCATCATCTTTTCCTGTCCTTGGTCTTGTCCCCCTTGGGTGTTTTTCTGTTACTTTGGAACTGTTCTATTGTGAATTTTTTGTTTCAATTCAAAAGTGAAATCACCCACTTAGACTACGTCGCATTTCCCTAAGCTAAGCTCCTGGGAGAGCCTGAGACTCCAGAGCAGCATAAATGCTGGTGGTTCTTCATCCAGCTGCAGCATCCCCATGCACAAGAGCAGTCTGTTAGTGTCTCTGTGCTGCTGTAGCAGTGCTGTGTGTGTGCAAACATTGTTCCTGTTACCATATGGTATCCTAGAAAGCAAAAATCACTGACATGAGGCCAATGGAGTGAGGGAGAGGCATGATACATCCTGACTTTTTTGTTGGAAGTAGACTGCTAAACTTCTGTTCAGACTTTTCAAGGCATTTCAAGGAAGTCGAATAATTATTCTTACCTTGATGAAAGCAGTTCAGTAATTAATATTTTTGGATCATCAATCTCTTATCCATGTGTTAAATCCATTTAATATCTGGCTAGTTTTTAGACTCTGTTTTTGAAAATCGTGGCTTTAGTTTCCGCCAAGCCTGTGGCAGACATGGCTGGAAGTGCAGCCTTCAGCATCTCAGTTTGAGAGCACATCTTTTCCTAGAGTGCTTGCATGGCAAGGAATCAATAGCAGGTGGTAGCTGGCATTGAGAGCCATGGGGTAGCACCCTGGGAAGAGAGATCTTGTTTGCTTTCAGCTGTTTTGTTAGGTTGGACTGCCCAGTTGAGTGTGTTTTGGATCTCAGAACAAATCAAGTCTAGTACTGCTTTCTAGAAAGAAAACTGCTGTTTCTTGAGTTGTACCATGTTGTTGTTAACCTTCCCCATGGTGTGTAGAGCCATTTGATCTGGAAGGAAGGGTCAAAATATAATTTGATAGCTGTAGTAGAGGTTCAGTTTGTCTGTCAGTAATGTTTCATTAAATTGACTCTTAACATGTCATATTTCTTGACCAGCTCTGGCTTCTCGTTTGTGTACAGGTTGTGTGTGGGCAGGACCACAGTCTGTTTAGAACAAAGAAAGGCACAGTGTATGCGTGTGGATGGGGAGCTGATGGACAAACAGGTAGGAGCTCAGCTAAGCTTCCCTCTTAGCGCATGGCTAACAGTAGCAAGCTGTGCTAAATTTGGGGCTGGTGATGCCACTTTCTGTCCACATGCGCAAGGCACCTGGCAGCTGGGCAACTCTTTGCAACTACGTGCAGATGTTCCCAGTGCCCTTGTGTAGATGAATGGAGACAAACCAGTTCCCTTTTTTTTTTTTTTTTTAATCTATTTTTTATATTGAGGAGTTTTAGGACACCCTGCTGGCAATCCAGGCATGTCATCTGAGGCCAATGTGACCTTGTTTACTGTGTGAGGCTTGTGAGGGCATGCAGGGGTGACATGAAAATAACTTGCTCTGTTCTTTATAGGCTTTGTTTTCTGATTGTCTTGTTTCCAGGTCCTTTTTGCTTCCTTCTCCTTTTGACTTGGTGGAGTCCTTTGCCTGCTAATGCTGTGTTAGCATTGGGTGTTCGGCCAGGCCCCTGTTCCGCTGTCACAGGACTTCCTCTAAGCCCTTCCCCCTGTTTATTTCTTCTGCTGACCCTGAAACTTGGTTCTTCTGGTTCTCTTGTGTGGATATGCTGTAGACTAGTGGTTCTCTTGATTTTTTCGTTGTTCTGGCCTCTCGTTCAGGCAGCTGTTTGGCATGCTTCCCAACATCTCTTGCCATTTCACCTGCTGTTGTCTAAATACCTTTTAGAGCGTACTGTGAATTCTGGCTCTTCTTGCAGGAGTCAGGATAGAGCCAGTTTGTAAAATTTCACTTCTGTCAGGGTGTCTGCCTGGCTTGGGTTACTCCTCTCTCAACACTTTTGTCCATGCAGAAGAGAGACATAAACTTAGATTGTTTCCTCGATTTGACTGTATAAGGCTGGCTGGTAGGTACTTGCCTCTTCAGCTAGCAGAACTGGTGTCTTTGGCCTCTTGTCCCATGAAACTGGCCCTTCAGATGTGAAGGGAAAGATGTTTCTTTTGGAGTGAAAACGTGAATGATGTATTACACACAAACACACACAGAGAAAGGTCTTGTATAGGCAATAGTTGGCATTGCTGGAAAAAAAAATCTTGATCGCATCTTTTTTTTTTTTTCTTTTTTTCCTTTCAGGTCTTGGACACTACAATATCACCAGTGTTCCTACTAAGGTGCAGGGTGACATTGCTGGAGTAAATATTGTCCAGGTCACTTCCTATGGAGACTGCTGTCTGGCTGTTTCAGATGAGGGAGATCTCTTTGGTTGGGGAAATTCGGAATATCTGCAGTTGGCATCTGTCACGGAGACCACCCAGGTTAGCTTGCCTGGGAATTCGTTTTTGCATGTTTCAGTTCAGCTGCAGTGCACTGAGTTAAAGAAATTACTCACTTCTGCTGCTTTTAACAGCAGTATGGATCAATATAAACCCTTAGCAGTCTGGTTTTCTCTATACCTATCTATACCTGTACAAAGCCAACCTGTCTGAATTGGTTGTATGGCTGTAGGATAAGGTATTCCCAATGAGAATTTTCAAATCTCTCCTGAGTTCCTCCATGCACTTCCAATATCTCCCTATTTTAAGGCAGAAGATAATTGTACTGATCAAATTCTGACCGTTTGCAAAGCTATCTTGTAAAATAGCCAATTCCAACCATTTTATAGCTTGTGTTTTCTAGACCTGTGTGCTTTTTAAAATGCTGTATAAGTAGCGGTTGCTTTTACTGTGAATAGATGCACTGATAAAAGGTGATACTCTTTCTTGTAGTATAATATATCACTTTTCTAAGTCTTAGGCTTCAGTGAAGAGGAAAACTGAATGAAAATGCTATAAAAGTATATCCAAAAGAAAATCCCAATGCTCCAAGAGTCTTGTGAATTGCACTGAGTTATTCATGCGGTGCAGGATATTCAGTGCATGTAAACTATAGACAGAACTTGAGAAGGTGTTAAAAATGTGTGCCTGGTTCCAGTTTCTTGGTTTGTCTTTAAAGACAAACTTTATACCTTGCACAGGTGAATGTTCCCAGACACTTGCCATTCAAGATCGGGAAGATAAAGGAAGCTGCATGTGGAGGGACTGGCAATGTGGCTTTAACTGGTGAGTTATGCAGTAGGTGGGTTGTAATGTATTTGAGGAAGCAGCTTGTTTACTGAAAATAAAGGAGTGCTGCCTGCATGACAAAGTCAGGAGGCTGAAAAAGCTGTGATTTAAGAATATTTTCCCCAGGTATTTTTCTCAGCATATGTTTTTGGGAAGCTGTGTATGTTCTATTGTGATCAGTTGCGCTCATGAGACTCTAATGTGAGCAAGAACAAGGTTGTTGCTTACTGCTCTGTTCCCTTGTTTGCCAATCACATGATGCTTGTGTGGCCCATAATGAAGATGAACATTTGAAAAGCCCTTCAGACTTGATGTAAATCTGGCATGTAAATAAATTTTGATTAAATGGACAAGAAAGAGAGTTCTGAGAACAGTGACACTCTGCAACAGGGTTCTTGTTGAATCCTTTGTGTGATTGCCAGTGGTTAAAGGAGCACAGCTCAAAAGTCATAGAATAAAGGAGCAAGGGATGGAATTGTAAATGCTGTGAGGAAGAATCCTCTTGAAGTGCATATAAATGATGCAGTTACTGTGATGACAACATATTTGAGCTTTTAGCATGCAGGTAGCTAGCAATCATGGGAATTTATTCTGTTTCATGCTATCCAACTGCTGCCTCTCCCAGGCACCCAACTTCAGGCAGAGTGCCAGGCAGAGCAAATAACTTACCACTGGTTTGGCAATACATCAAAGGGAAAAGTAATGATGATAAAACATTCAGCTGTGTCCATCAGACAGTAAGTTGACATATTTCATGCATTCCAGTGTTGGTTCTCCCTCTTTTCCCTGCCAGGATGGCTTTGCTTGTGAAGCTTGATCCCCTTAAAGGGATTAGGGGAAAAATAGGAATTTGGATAGGAGTGCATTGTTTGCTACTTTTAAATAATCAAAAGGTGCTAGACTGCTTTAGGAGAAAGGGAAAATATCTGTTTAGATCTAGTTAACTCTTGGTCATGGTGTGAATTTAACAAGCACAGCCTTTCTCACAGAATATTGTCTTACTATAATGCAGAAGAAGGAAATGTTTTTGTCTGGGGATATGGAATCCTTGGGAAAGGACCAAACCTAATAGAAACAGCAGTGCCAGAGATGATCCCACCCAGCCTCTTTGGCTGGTCAGACGTCAATCCGGACATCCGCGTCGCTCGCGTTCGCTGTGGGCTCAGCCAGTTTGCAGCGCTTACAAGTAAGTTTCTAGCCCTGAGCTCACAGAGAAGTCATCTAGCTACATTAATTTGGCAGTCTTAAGTTCAGCTTCGTTGTTGTTTTGTGTTTTTTTGTTTGTTGTGTTGTTGTTGTTTAAAGCTTAAACCACACTGATGGAATGCAACAAATAGGGAAATTTACAGGTGTTGGCAAGAATTTAGCTTATCTCTAAATCTAGCTACTGCTGTGCTTAAAAACTGGCATGATGTGGATATATGGCTGTGTTGCATAGCTTACCTTCTAAAAATCACGAGTTTATTTAGAAAGTTGATTCTATAACTAGACAACATGTCCCTTCTATAACAAAACAATTATCTCAAACAGGAAACCCAGGAAGGTTTTTGAAGTCAGCTGCACTTTAGATTCATTAGGAATTCATGTGATAAATTAACAAACTACCTCTGATTCAGACTGTCTTGGCCCTTCTGATCAACTTGGAAGCAATGCGAGAGGGGAAAATCTACATATTTAACATGCAGAGGACACTGTATGCTATGTACACTGTTTTTGGTATGGCCTTTAAGGGAAGTTATGAATCTGAAGGTCATTTAAAAACAGTCAGTAGAGGGCAGCAACACAGAAAACTCATGTACCTGATAGCAAAAATCATTATTTACCAGTGTCCTTCTCCTGTTGAGAAGGCAGTGTACCTGACACCATCAGTCTGGTTAGAGGGTGATTGTAGCTGGCTTCCCTTTGTTACTCAGGAAGCATGGCAAACTGTATTCCAGTTAAACTGTACTTAAGCTGTTACATTGTTCTGGTTGTCTCTCTACTATGGGGCTCATTGAAACATGGAGATTTCCCTATTTGACAGAGTGGCTTAAAAGAATGGTCTCTTTCCAGCTCTGCAGAACACAAGTTTTCTTTTGTTTTCCTCAGTTGTCGCTAGATTAAACCTTGCTTGCTTTGTTTGCCAATTGTCCAATTTCTACCCCAAATAATATACTTCCTTTGAATAAAATTCCAGAGCAAAGCTGTGAAAGGGAGAAGCAGAGACTTGTGCCCACAGTTTGCTTTCCTGCTTGTTAGACATAATTTTTCCCATGTACAAATTCAGTTATTATACTTGGAAGTAAACTTGGTGGCTTTCTTGCTGTGTATATAACCTTTTATGCTCCCCAGAAGCCCAGTAGCCACACTTGCCAGCACTGTAAATAGAAATACCAAAATACTTCCTTTTTGATGACTGTGCCCTGGTTCTCTCTTTTCTGCATATTTTTTCTTTTTTTTTTTTTTTTTTTTTCTTTTTTTCTTCCCCCTCCCCTCTCCTACAGACAGAGGAGAACTCTTTGTATGGGGCAAGAATATAAGAGGATGTCTGGGAATTGGAAGAATGGAAGACCAGTATTTCCCATGGAGGGTAAGGACAGTGGCATTAAGGCAAGATTATATTCTGTGGCTGGCCCTTGATATCACAAGGGCAAGAAACCTCATTTGCTGCTTAGTTCAAGGAGTAATTTTTAAAGTCTAAGTAAAATGTTTATATAAGTACTCTCCTCACCAGAGGTTCTGGCCTAGCCTATGCAGAGATGGAGGTGTTCTGTAAATACCTGCATCTTTTGGTTCTGCTTGTTCAGTACAATATTTGATCCAAAAGCCCAAGCTGGTGGCTGTGTTATCATTTCACAATAATTTTCATTTGCCTGTTGTCCCCAAGCCCCCACTCTTCCGTGCTTCTTCCCTCTAGCCTGCATTTCACAACTGTACGTGTTGGTACCAGAAAACAGCTGGTGTTGGTCATAAGAACCGACCCATAAGAATTGAGTTAAACGTTTAAATTAGGTGAACATTTCAGTTGCTGGAGTGAGACCCCTATGGAAGCAGGTCCATATAGCAGTAGGCTGCCTTCTCCTGATCCTTTTGCCTGTGGTGGTGGGTTGCTGGACGGACTGTGTGTAGCCACAGCAGGAGATACTTAGCCACTCCCTTCTCGGATGACTTTGAGAGCCAGACTCTGTGGGTGTAGAAGAGTGTTTGGCTCTAGGCTTCAGCACTCAGCCTCGCAGATGTTCCCAGTCTAAGGCCAAAGAGGAAACGAGGCAGGACCACCCTGGAGTCCCCTTCTGCATGTCTGAGTGGATGTTTCTTTGGCATGCTCCTCTCCTTCCTTTAAAAATGAACAAAACAGGCAATCACTGCAGAATTGGTCTAAAACAGAACTGCTTTGCCTGGGTAGATATTCTTTTGGACCCACCATGCATGGCACGCCATGCTAGTTATCAGAAGAGTAGGCAGTGAGGGGTGTTTTCCCTCAGATGGCCATCTCCTGTGTGATGTAACCCCAGCACTGTATCAGAGCAAGAGCAGTTACTGGGCGGCTGGTCTGTAACCTGCCATCTCTACTCTTCCTTATGCCTAAGAGAAAAAACTTAGGTCTTGCTGTTGCTTCCCTTCATTTTAAAGTCGACTTTGAGCTATAATTACCCTAGTGAGCATGCTGGGTCTGCTTGGCATCAAAACAAAAACTGCCTGAGACAAAAGCCTCAGCTGTGCTCTGCCTGCCCTTCCTCTTCCTTGAGAGAAGAGGCTAATCCTTGTGGTGCTTGGGCAGATTCTGTTTTCTTATACCCTGATTGTGCCCTGTTCAGTCGTGCAGTTTCTACTGCTGAGCAGATGGGCTGAAGCTACAGTCTCCTTGCTGTCTGCTGGGTAGACCTTTCTTTCTGTCCTTCAAAAAGCTTTGTTGGCCTCTGTGAGGGGAGAAAGGGCATGTTCTTCTAGTACGCACGACAAGCTTCCCTGGTGCTGAATCTGTGTTTCTCTGGGTGTTCAACATGGCCCTTTGGTGGGTGCAGAATCTCTGCAATAGGAACTAAGTAGAGGAAGGATGAGAAATAACACATGTGAAGTGCAAAGTGCCAGCTTGAGAAATGATCTACTCTTTTGCAGGTGACTGTGCCCGGTGAGGTGGTGGATGTTGCCTGTGGAGTCGATCACATGGTTGGCCTGGTTAAGTCTTTTACGTAGTTAATGCTGCTGGGCAGGCACTGTGCTTAGATGTGGGAACCTGGCAATGAGCTTCTCGGCAGGCACTGTGTTTAGAAGATGTGGGAACCTGGCAATGAGCTTCTTGGAAGGGAAGACTTTTTCAATGGAACTGATCAAGAAGCAACTGTGAGCAGAGGCAGCCTGGATGTCACCTCTGTGTTGCTGAAGTGCTTCAGCCTGCAGGAGGGAAGTGCTTTTCCCTGAGGAGAGAGGGAATTCAGGGAGTGCTCTGACCGGTTCCGGAGTTGCTCCTGAAGAATCGGAGACCCAGACTCAGAGGTGAGTTTGTGTAAAAGGATGACAAACATCTCTCAGGGAAGACTGGGATGAGATGAAGTCTGTAGTACAGGACACTTATTTACAGACTGTCTCTCCCTGTCACCAACTCTCTGCTGCCAGTGTTGGACTGAGACAAGCTATTTCTCGGGGGAAAGCTTTTTAATTACCATTTTTATTATGAAAGAGAAGTTGCACTGGCTTCTGGAATCCAGCCGAGCTGTCCTCGACGTCTGCCACCAGCTGCACTCTGTGTGGCTGTTGTTGGTGTGGGTGTTGCATGCCCAGCTAATGGCCCTGGGAGACAGTGTGCTCATCACAGGCGTTCGCAGGCTTTCCACGTGGACTGAACACCAAAGGAGCACGTTCCTTACACTGCAAGAGTAAAGCTACTGTTAAAGAAGACAGCCAGGAAAGATAAATCATGTACTGTCCACATTGCCACTGCTGTGTGTGCAGTCTGATTGTAGCAAATCTAATGTATTGATGGACTGAGGTCAGGAACAAGCTCCCTCTTAGCTACGTGCACGGCTCGTGCTCAGGCTGTGGAAATGAGCAGAGCTTTTTTCTCATCGGCTGCTTCTCTCGGTATGCTCCTCACAAACTGCTGCCTTTGGTTTCTGGGAGTCCCTGCGCTCTTGCTATACTGCCAAACATGGGCAATTCTCCATCACAAAGAGCTCTTTCAAATTAGCCTTTGCTGTAGTGCCTAAATGGGGAAGAGACTTAATAGGCAAAAAACAGAATTTATAGCCATGTTTCTTGTTAGCTTCCTAGGAGAGAAGTTGTGGTAAGTGCATTTAGGATGTAGTATCTAAAGCAGGTGGGACCTAGCAGCCATATGTACTCCTGGTGTAGCAGTCACTTAGCAAGTCTCCTGTTGAAGTGTGGGAAGCCGATTGTTTCCTGGGCTGTACAGCAAATGTCACAGAGCTGAATCTTCTCCCTCTGTACTGCCTCCTCACACTGTGTAAATTACTTGGGGAAAACTTAATGTGCTTTGAATAAAGTGATTATAAAGTCTTTGTATCAGTAGTAATGGAAATATTCTTGTGCTCGAGTTCACAGAGATCATAGAATCGCAGAATGCTGAAGGTTGGCAGGGACCTCTAGAGATCATCTAGTCCAACCCCCTGCACACGCAGGGTCACCTAGAGCACGTGGCACAGGGCTGCGTCCAAGCGGGTTTGAAGATCTCCAGAGAAGGAGACTCCACACCCTCTCTGGGCAGCCTGTTCCAGTGCTCTGTCACCCTCACTGTTAAAATTTTTTTCCTTAAGTTCCTGTGGAACTTTTGGTGTTTCAGTTTGCGGCCATTACCTCTAGTTCTGTTGGTGGCCACCACTGAAAAGAGGCCAGCACCATCCTCCTCACTGCCTCCCTTGAGGTACTTCTAGACACTGCTCAGGTCCCCTCTCAGCCTTCTCTTCTCCAGCTGAACAGGCCCAGCTCCCTCAGCCTCTCCTCAGAGGGCAGAAGCTGCTCTGTCTTGTGCTGTGCACTTAATTTAATGTTTCACTGTGATGTGATGATAGGAAATATTTCCTGTTACCTGAGCTGCCTCCGTGCCTGCAGGACTCATGCTGTGGTAGGCATGGTGTATACCATGTACACTCACTGGACTCCTTCATCTCTGTATTAGTTCTTAAGTAATTAACAAAACTAAGCTTTATCTAGATGAAATAATCTCTTGGAGGGCTTTGCAAAAAGTATAGGAAAGGTTAAACAAAGTCTGCAGAAATAGTTATTTTTGAGAGTTACTTTAAGCATTGCTTTGTAACTTGTGTTTTAGTGCTGGGCTGGGGCAGAAAGCTTTATAAAACCAATACACAACCCCATCCCAGAACTTACCCGCTTCCTCACTGAGCATGCGAGCTAGAGTTTTGATTAACTTGAGAGATTTTTTTTAAACCAATCAATAGCAAAAGTAAGTATGCCTAGAGTCACTCAAGCTCCACCTAGACGTAAAAGAAAATATATTAAAAGGTGAACTAAGGAGGGTTATAGAAAGAACGGGGGAAGGAGGAAGGCAGAGGGAGGATTCCATTGTAACTTCTGGATCAGTTGAGGGGCTGAACCCCTTTCCTCCCCTCCGGTCAGGACGTGGCCTGAGGAGACTCCTCACGCTGAGAGCCCTCTCCCATGGGCTGGGCTGGGTGGTGATTGTGTGTTTGCACACCAGGCACTAGCTGAGAACCCCACGCTGTAGTAGAGCATTTCCTACGCTGACACATGAAACCTGCTTTGTAAATGTTGCGTTGGAATAAATCATGCTATTCGTGAAGGCGATCCCTTGTTGTGAAGGCGATCAGAGCAAACAGGCGACAGACTGTTCGTGAACCCCACACTGCCAGAGTCGGCCTAGAGCTGATCATGTGTTTGTGGCCTGGATTTGCTGTTGTGAGGGTGCTCGGAACTGCAGCTGCCAGACTGAATCCAGTGCTGCCGGAGTCGGGCCTAGAGTCACCGCGGTATTCGGTGTCCCTATGAGGGGATGAGTCCAGTCCCTCTTGCCTTGGAGGAGCAGCTGGAACGTGAGGGGATTCAGCACTTACCAAATTTGCCCCTGCCCCCATCAAACTGCAACAGCCTTCCAGGGCAGAGGGGGTGAATTTCATTCATATTTCTGTCCTGATTTTTCTTTTTTTTTAGGATATATTCCAGGCCATTGGGCTTCTCCAGCCACCTTCTTGTCACTCTGGTTAAGCTTTTCCTAGAGAAACTGTGTGATAACAGAGTTGGGAAAGGCCCTGGCCCCGCGGCTCTGGGGCAGGCGCCCAGCGCTGCTATCGCGCCTCTAACCCGGTGCCTGCAGGACTCGTGTGTACTGTGGGTTATTTTTTGGTTACAGACTATTCTGCTAAGTCCAACACGAGCAGTCCTGGGTGAAGGCAACTGCTCGTGTGTGCGGTGTTCAGGCTCCGTGGGATGGATGGGAGATGGGAGATCCTGTTCCTCTTGGCCCTTCCCTCTGAAATGGACAAAAGCCAGGACCAAGGGTGGGCTTGAAGGCCAGATCCGTTGTAGCTACAACAGTTTCTTAAAAGGTTCCCTGGTGTTATGCCTGGTCCTTTCCATCCACATTTGGTCATAGCTAGAGCCCCAGCATCCTCGTTCTGCACCGGAGGGCCCAGAACTGCAGGAATACAATCAATTAAAAATAAAATGCAGGAGTGATGACCGTTTCAGGCTTCATTTGTGCCCTAAGGGCCCATTGCAGACGATGTCCAGGGAGGCCACCAAGCCTTCCCCTGCCTGCTCAGCTTTTGCTGCACAACTAAAAGCAACAACCTCTGACCTACGTCTTGGGTCCCCCCAGGGCTGCCTTGGTGCAGAGCTGCTGGCCTGAAAGGAGCCTTTTCTCCAGCTCCTCCTTGGCCAGGGCGGCCTCTGGGCACTTGGTGTCCATCCCACAAGAGGTTTCGCACTGGGAGGAGGAGGAAGGCAGGCACTGACATGGGGAAGAGCAGCCGAGGCCCCGTTAAAAGCGCTTGGCAGATGGGCCCTAAACCAAGGCCTTTCCTATAGGCAAGGAAGGGGCTGGTGTCCCAGCACCGTTAGGTCTCAGCAAGCTGGCCCCGTGCAGCCTCCCAGCGCCGCGGCCGGCACTTTAATGCAGGGATAGAAGGCAGACGCAGCAACGTGCCCAGGTACTCCCTATAAAACCTTCAAAAAGAAATGTTAAAGCACCATTCAAAGGTTCTTTTAGGAAGGGTGAGTGGCCCTTTTCTTTTTTTCCTTCTTCTAAGTGCTGCTTCATAAAAATCTCTTCAAAAACATTTCCCTTGGCTGAGGAGCGTGAGTTTGGTTAAACCAAGGTCGAGCTTAAGCCTCGAGGTGCTGCCTGAGCCAGCACCAGTGGTGCCAGCCCTGCAAACGGCCGAGCCTTGAGAGCCGCC